CACACACACACACACATTAAGCTTTAACATGTGTCCTCAGGCTCATGTTGCTCTTGTAATCTCTCCAAGGACCCCTGAACTACACAGCAGGCAGAATGAGAAAACACATCTGTTTCTCTCCTTTTTTTGCCACATTCTACTTTTTCCAACCACTGGCACCATTTACTACTACACTCTTCTTTTTTTATATATTGCTCACATTTGATAGCATATGGCTGGTCAGTTTCTGATGAAACGGATGCATGGCATCACAGCGGTCTACATCTACATATCTTCAACTTTCAGATCCCAACAAGCACGGTCGTATCCAAGCCCTCCTGCATTCCTCCTATTGAACAGAAAATGTATCTATCCAAATTATAAAATAATAAATAAATGAAAATTGGCAGTGCCCTAATTTTAACATGAATATTATTAATATTATATTATTTCAGAAAATATTCTCTGCCTCATTTAATTTAGTTAATGACTGTCTCTTATACATTCCATGGATGTTTTGTGTGTATTGTCTCTTTTGAGCATAATGAAGTACAGTCCAATCCAATATTTTATGTAGTCCGTAATTACTGTCAGCCTTCAGAGGATCTTGCTGCAGAGCATTAATGGACAAATACCCTGCATTGTGCTGAAATTTAGTGTAGTGCATTAACATATTCTGGCATGTAACTATGGTTAGAGTGAAGGTGAATGTCAATGTTTCTTTTTGGGTCTTGTCATTCTGGCATTTTCAAAATAACACTGAATGGCCTTTAAGGGTGCTACATTTACAAGTCAGAACAAGGTGACGTGTTACTGATTGGCACTGGGAAATACTGTTCAATCATTAATGGGGAGCCAATGTGTTGTTTTCTCTTTGTCTAACTTGTTGTGTCCTTCTCTTTTTTCTCTGTATTGCCACATTCATTGGAAAGTTCAATTTGACTTTATTTGTATCGCCTTTCCTCCCTGTCATTCCTGCCTCCTCTCCCCCTTTCCTCCCTCTTTCTCCTTGCCCCATCTCTTTTTTGTTGTTTACCTCCTCCATTTCTCCTCTCATCTACCTCTGCCTTGCTCCCTCTCTCTTTATACCAGTCTCCATTCCTGTTACTTGGCCGTGCTCATGCATGCTGACATGTCACCCTTATCGTGCCAGCAGTGCTCATTCACACTGTAAATGACAGAATGCACCCTTGTGGGGGAGGAGAAAAGAAGGGAAAGGGAGTGAGAAAGAGAGAGGATTACACAGGAGATGTATGTATCAGATCACATGTATCACATTCCAAAATATGGGATGGCATGACTCACTGATATTGTGATATAAAATTATCTTTATTGTGATAGAGGATTTTATCCACATTGCCCACTCCTTATAGTATGATTTAAAAGATTTAAAATGATTCAATAAAATCTCTTGTTATTTTAATATTCCAGAAGCCTGCCTTTAGTTAAATTAAAGATACGTAATCCCTTAAATGAATCCTATGGCCTCTAACCTCACTTTAAATAAACACACACACACACAGACTTTCCCTTGTGGCTGTATGGCAGGTACTGTAGTGAGAGCTCTGTTCAAGGATTCACATGTGACATGTGCACTAGTATATAGATAGACTGCACGACGTCTATGGATGGATTGATAAATTAATAAATAAATTAGAGTTAATGTAAAAGTATATACATTCACACTTGATTAATTAAAGTAGTAAGTTCCACTTAATCAGCAGCTTTAGAACTAATGAAGAATGATAATAAGAATAATAAGAAGCTAAGAAGGGAATAAAAAGGCTGCACTCACTTTTTGTACAATCAGCTGTCTTAACATATGACACAGTAATTGCAATGTGTCACTTGGCACAATAAGATATTGAAGATGTGGGTATAGATCGCCACCTAATGGTTGCGTAAGTACAATATGTTTCTAGAGTTAAACTGAGTGATGAGGGGACAAAGTGACAAGATACACAGTCAAGTTAACAGTATGAATATTGCCCAACCTTTGGGTCAGGCAGAAAGGCAGATTTGCCAGCAACATATCTGATGATGTAACATTGAAAAGACACATTTCTGAAGTGGATTTTTTATTTATTTCTGAAGGCCTGTCAGGCTGAGGATGCAGTGAGCGCTGGCAAAACGATTTGTTCTGTTTTCAGATCTTTGACACTGAGCTGAAAGAACAGGAGAGAGAGGTGTGTTTCATCGACATCGCCTACGATGAGATCCCCGAGCGCTACTATAAAGAGTCTGAGGTGAGCATGTGTAGGTGTGAGTGTGTAGATGCTCATGCTTCTGGGAGTTAACACCATCGGAGGGATTTATGTGTAGTGTTGAATCTGGAAATGCAGTAGTAAAACAATGTGATTTAGATAAACTGTATGATTTCAGTTCCTGTCATGTCATGGTCTCTTACTGGTTTTCTGTGTCTAAACTGTTTTATATCCAATATTTTCTTTTATCCCTATGGGGATTTTCACAGGGAAGACAATAACATACTTGATAATATTATTATTATTTGATACATTTGTTACTGAAGGCCAAACACTTGCTCTAATGCAAACTACAAACTCAAGTTCTGCACTTCTGAGTCTGTGAAGTGTGAAAACTGGTAATTGTCTTCAGAGCGGTTTGAAAACAGATTGCCTCAGCTTTAATGAGCCTGGATAGAAATTCTCCAAGGAGCAGAGGGGTTAATGCGAATGGTATTTAATACTGTCATTCTGTCATGCATCTAATTTCAGTCTGTCCCTTATGTCTCTTCACTGAGGTGCAGAAACAACGATGCCTGAAGGTTTGGGTTAATTATTGTAATATTAAACGTGTGTGTGTGTGTTCCCCCCCCCCCATTGCAGGACTTGCGATATTTCAAGTCAGAGAAGACGTCACGGGGGATTCTTCAGGAGGGCTGGAGGGACACCCAGGATCCCATCATGTGCTCATACAAACTGGTCACTGTCAAGTTCGAGGTGTGGGGTCTGCAGACCCGTGTGGAGCAGTTCGTACACAAGGTGAGAGGTCGCCCATGGGATGAATGCGAGATCATTTTTCTGTTGATTGCAGCTGTGCATTGTCTGTGCTGCTCTGAATGTGTCAAATAATAGTTTTTTATTTCTTGTTTAATGGAAAAAGACAATTTGTCAATAATAATAAAACATATTACCAAGTTGCATTCACAATCTGTCACAATGCGTGACGAGTTCCACATTTGGGTCATCTTCACATCTTCTTTCACGTCACGTCACAGTTAATTTCATGTTAATAAATAGTGTGCCTCTCTTTGCTGTTATTCTGAGTAGTTGGTTAAAGTACTTTACATGACAGTACAGCCTGAATCTCGAATATTTCGCTTTTAAACATAATAACATTGAATGAAAAGAAGATGTTGCGTGAGTAAGTATTTTCTGACCATCAGTGTATTGTGTTATAGGTGGTTCGGGATGTGCTGCTGCTGGGACACAGACAGGCATTTGCCTGGGTCGATGAGTGGATTGGTAGGTCTATTAGCCATTTTTCTGTCTACACACTCCAGCTAATTCAAAGCCGCACACCAAGTTATAATGCATGCATTGGCTACACCATAGCATTTACCTTTCTTATGTAAATAAGAACATTTTTATTCTATTCATAGATGAAAGCCATCCCTTCTCAGTGTTGTGTATAGTGAATAATTGCTTTTGTGAACCATCAAGAACATACATAATAATTAGTAAATAAGACCTTTATATTTTCCATATATGTGTTTGTATTTACAGCCCTTTTTGAAGTGTTATGTTACTATGACTGATTATTCTTTGAAATGTTGTATGTCTTAGCTACTTTGATTTTATAAATTACTATGTGATTATAATTTTTTTTTACCAGTCTATGCATGAAAAATCACTCCACCTGCATCTAACCCTGTCACTGCCAGTCCTGCTCATTTTCCTACAGCATGGATTCTCCCTTTTGGTATCACCACTAACACACAAATGACAAACACTGTACTGTCATGTGCAGAGATGGCCAGTGTTTGTTTCACGATGCTTGATAAAAATAACTCTCAAACCACATTCATTCATGTTTCATGTTAGAGAAATTCATATATATAAGTTAATTTAGAGTCATAGTACTTGTATAAGTGTTAAGTGTAATACTGTTACATTTTATCTATTTGACATTTTTATGTTTAAACCAAATATAAAATAGAACAAGAAAAAATAAAAGCCTATTTATGCTCACCAAAACTGCGTACATGGATAAACCTTCCAACAAATTGGCTGCAATCACCTGAAGGAATAATTGGACATTTACATCAGGGAAGAATGATGCACTTACTGAAACATGAAAGCTGCCTCTGTCTGTTTCTCTGAGAGTCTGGCTGCACAAGAGGCAGCCCTGTTAGCAGCCATAAGTGGCTGCAACACATTTACTCACTATCAGCTGTTGAGCTTTTTCCATAGCTGCAGGGCATAAAGATAACAAGCCCATTATCTTTGCCATTAAACATAATCTTCTCCTATCCCTTCTATAACCTCTACCTTTTTTTTAACCACAACTCCCTATAACTTGGATGCTTGAAATACTCCCTAAATCTTTTCACATGTTGAATGATTTTGTCTGGAGAATAAGTGAAACCTTCCAGGTGTTGCTTTCTTGCTCTCCAATGATCCAACCTCTTCTTCAGGTGTGGATTTTTCATGCTTTTACCTGGTCTTGAAACATCCTTGACCTCATACTTCCTTTCCTCCCTTCTTCCTGGTGTGGCTCGGATTTGTCTAGCTGTCTCCTCTAAACTCTTTGGGTCATGGGAAGCTAGCACTTTCACCTATAAAGCTTTTAACTATAAAAAGCTGTAATCATTAAAAACGCTACACTCACCCATGGAATGCAGCTTTGCCACTTAACCCTCTCCTTCCCCATCTGTCCGTCAACTGGAGTGCCCTTTATAGAGGACTTACCAACATTTCGACCTTGGTTCCACCCCTCCCCCTTCTTCCAGATATGACTTTGGATGATGTGCGGGATTACGAGAGACAAATGCATGAGAAAACCAACATTAAAGTCGTAAATTGCCATGAGCAGCAAGAACATTCCACAACAAACCCATCTTCACTGGATGACATAGAGATCCATGACAAAGCAAGCGTATGTGTCTTTTTCATTGATTCTTTACTCCATTGCCGTTCCTCTGTCTCATATTTGAACCATTGGTGTCTGTGAAAGAATGTTGTCGCAGCTGCATATAACTGTCCACATACATCAACTCATTCTGTCCTACATTGAGTTAAACAATGCATACACAAACTCTTGAATATATATAATGAATATGATAATTCAAGTCTGCCAAAACTCCCCAAAGGTTTGAAAAGCTATCTAGAAAATATAAGGCAACACAAATGAACACTAGAAACATCTTGGTTATTAAACAACAATATGAGCTGATTAAAAAGAAATAAAAATGCCTTTAATATCTACTTTGCCTGTTCTTCCTCTCATTGGTCTTGATCTTTTTCTAATCCAGACATGACAATGGATGAGGTGAGAGAGTTTGAGCGCGCCATCCAGGAGGCCACCAACCAGAAGATTGGGATATTTCCCCCATCGATCTCAATCAGTGAGACGCCCCTGTCCTCCTGTGCCCTCACTGGCCCTGCCAGCGCCCCCTCCACCCCCATGTGCACTGATGCGCCTGAGTCCCTCTCTGTCCCCAAGGACCGACCCCGTAAAAAGTCTGCTCCAGAAACCTTGACCCTTCCCGACCCTGCTCCAAGTGCCGTCCCCCAAGGCTCTAACCAGAGCCCACTACCCATTTCAAACCACGTCCAGTCATCTACACCGCCCTCCTCCAACTCTGATCTTGCTGAGATGGATGAGCAGTAGAGGGACCTTGGGATGTCTTCCCCCACGCCTTGCTTTACTTATACCCCCAACCCCATTGTCTTAGTAGCCCAATGAGACTAGCCTAACCTCCAACACCAGTGCCCAGATGTTCTCTAGCCATATCCCACGATTTGCCATAATCCTGGACACACAACAATCACTCTAGAAGTCTTCATCAGTGTCACTAATACCATCCAATCAGCTGTAGGCTCAGCCACCCTGATGTCACTGACTTCCTCTTCTTGTGAGTCTAGCCAGCCACATGTCTCATCTATTATAACAACCACCTGTGATGTCTAATCAAAACAAAGAGCATCAGTAATTATTTTTGTTGAGCGGCAGTTTCTTATGTTATATGAATAAATTAAGTTTCCTTAGTTATGTTTTCTTCAATCAGATGAGCTGATTGCTTTCAAGCTGTTGAACTATGAAGTAGTTGCCTTAGCACCACAGAGTCAGTGGTGACAATGTGCGCAAATGAATGAATGATGAATATTATAATTTCTCAGCCTGTAAAATGGCTGTATGTATTAAATTAGGAATGAAATCAATGACACAAACTAGAGTAGCACATTAGACATAATATGTTATACAAACACCAGAAAGACAGCCAAGTACCCTCATAATAGAACTGCTTAGCAACTGTTTCCTGAGCCATCCAAACTGGCCTGCGGATCAGATTGCACCCATCCTTTCCATCCCAAACTCCAATTATACAACAGATGCAAGATTAGTACAATCATAGAGAGTTTACACCTCAGGTCTCCCTGACTCTACCTGGCTCACACTCCAAAGGCAGGGATATTACTATTCCTTTCTCTCCCTGCTTATTGCCAAACAGCCACATTTTATACCTCCAAAGACATTACAATACAGCAACTATTGTATGTACTATACCAGTCTACTTAACCCTTGGAATGTTTACACATCAGAAACCTTGGAGGATTTGCATATTAGCAGTAACATTGTAGGTTAAGCTGTTGTTATATCTGCACTTGCTGTTTTAGCATGACAGTTTAATGACTCTAAAATTGAATTTGTTTGAAGTTTATTACTGCATATATCTTACTCAAGTTGACAGAGAGGTCAGTACAAAAAAAAAACTAAGTAAAATGTTGCCTGAAACTAATGCTGGACATCCCATGTGACATAAACGTGATCCAATTTTATCAAATCAACTCATCACTTTAATGTCATATGTAGGAACAAGGCCATTTTGGGGAGTTCTTAAGCATTGACTGATCTTTGTGCACAGTGGAGGTAATGAAAACTCAAAGCTTGATTTGAGGAGAAGGGCACGTGCATCAAGCTGACTTGAGTATGTGCTTTGTTAGCTGCAGAGAATTTCCAGAAGCGCTTACACCTTTGCTTAGGCAGTGCTGGTTGGTAATACTGAGCCAGTGCTTTGGTGGGCATGGAAAATGATTTTGAAATAGGAACATCCTTTGCAGTGAGCCATCATTTCTGCTGGGCTTGTACTGCAAGTTACCATCTAAAACCCTAAAGGAGAAACAAAAACATGAGGACAGCAAGTGATTCTTTGAACCCCCTTTTTTCATACAATATTATTCAAAGAGGGTTTTATATGCTGCATGGAATGTTCACAACATATATACATATTATGTGAAGTATATATGTATATAGTGTAAATGAATGGATTGGTACAGTGTATTTGGTGATGCAACTGTATGAAAAAAAGCGAATGCCAGCTTTGGAAGCTCTGTACTATTTGTGCATAATAGAAAAAGCAGATATCGAGTGAAATGTAAGCATGCCCAGAGAATATAGGCCTACAAGCTCTTTCAAATCAGTGCCTCTGCATGCAACTATTGTATCATCGCTTACATGCGTGTGTAAACCAGAATCTGTTATATTTCATCTATAGAAACACAAAATTGAATTACATTTTTTTGTTGCCTGTTTTCTATTTCAAATGTTACATTTAACCAAGAACAGTTAAATGTAAACTACAACATAGTCAGATCAAATCAATCATATCAAACTACACCATCAGACTCAAGTGACAGGGCTAACTTGTTTTCATATTTTTTATTTATTATTAGTACTCTTTTGTTCCCCTATTCATACCAATTACTTCTAACTTTACAGCGCAAATGCATTTTGCACTTTCCAGTCTTTGACACCTTATTCGACAATGAAGAAATTTGTTACATTAGAGTCTTGTTGGGTTTGTTGGACCAAAGTCCTAAAATACAGCATAGTGACTTCGAAGATAGCAGGTTCGAAGAGAGTCCTCAGTGGTCTTGCCATAAAATACTGTTAATATTATGTACAGTTTCTCACTTACTTTTGTTAAAACACAAAACAACTGTAGCTATTTATCTGTAACTGTAGCTTTTGCCTTTTTCTTTTTGAGGATAAAAATGTTATATACCAGTTATTGGCCCTCCGTATTGATCTATTATGTATAGATTATACATTCTTACAACTCTGGTATTGACTATCTCTCTTGTCAGGAACACAGAGATCCAGGGATATGTTTGATCTGCCACCGGCTATTAAAAATAATGCAAAATATCCAGTTGTGTAACATAAAGCTCTGCTCTGTTTAAAAGAGTAACATATTAGGTATTGTAAATACTGTTATCAATGACTAATATAGTAGGTTTCTTACATTAAATCTGTTCCAGGTTGCATTACTGATGTGACATTAATGTGCTCAAACATTTCAAATGGTCAGAGAAGGATATTCTTTAGTGTTTGTGTGGTAAGAATGACATCTTCACAGACATGAATTAAAGGTTTGTTTTTAAAGTAATGTGTATCTATAAAGTCATTGTCATCTATTGAAGATACTGAATTCAGTTAAGTTTACTCTTCTCAATGGAGTATCAAGATTCTTTATTGTAGTGGTGCACTTTTGACTCTCCAGTTGCTTTTGGTGACCCTGCAGGGCAAAATTATTTGTACAAGTTGTAAAACAAAATGAAGCTTTTCTTTTTAGTGGGGTGGCTGCTTTGACGTTTAATTGCGATGTTAATTCAGAGGTGATGGGCTCTTCTGTTGTTTCTTTTTTTGTAGTAAACCTGCTGTACTTTGATTTTGTGGTTGCTGTATTGTTTGAAGGAAAAGAAGAAATTGTTTATCATTATTTTTTTGGAGCAAGGACCAAGCTTTTCACTCCTCCTCCCCTCCTATTGATGCAGTTTGCATTCTGCCAGGATGTTGTGCTGTCTCCTGATAACTGGGACCTGTCTCACCAACCAGGATCAATGGGTTAGCTGTAGAACAGCACTGAGGGAGGCCAGGAACACCTTTGTGTACTTCACTCTGTTGGAGATCAGGTGTGCTTTGGGCTTATCCAGCTTTCTATTAATCCTGCTGTGTGAAACAGGCCCCAGAAGTGCCATTGGTGTTCGGCTGCTGGAAGTTGCTCTTAGTTCTTCCACTTTAACTATTATTGTATTTGTTATATTTTTACTGCTCTTTAAAGTTAATTTGGTTCTTTGTTGTAATTATTGTTTTACTTTTTCTGAAACAGAATAAACTTTACTAGCTATTGCAAACTTGTTGTTATTCATTCAGTGCATATTTCATTATGTATGTTTTGTCCATGAAAACCATACTATGCAGCTCGCAAGTTGGTATCTGAGGCCTGGTGAACCATTCAAATTTGGACTTAAGTAAAGGTTAAAAGATTAGCAGAAACATGTACTTAAAGGACCAGTGTGTAGGATTTAGTGACATCTAGTGGTATGACTGCAGATAGCAACCCCTTTGTAGTTGTTGAAATACTCTCGGAAACAAAAGAAATTACAAACTTTAATTTAAGTAGACAACACAGGTGAAAAGAAAGTCGATGCACTTACAGTTATGGAAAAAATATTGGTTATTGATTTGTAAGAGATTTGATTGAGGATTTTTCCACCAAATTCAATAAATTTGTTTTCTTAAAGCCAGAATCTAGCATCCATTTGAGGCATTTCTACATGAGCTTACTACCTTAATTATGTCTCAAACAAGAAATCAAGAGGTACACAAGGTTTCACTTTTCCTTTTTCATATAAGTAATGGTAATTAAACTCAAACCCACTAGATGAAAAAGAAAGAAGATTTTTCTCAAAGGACACTTGATGCATGTGGTACCATTTACAGTGTCCACTTTTCTCTTTTACTTCCAAAGGAGAGAAACCACAACACAGATCCAGAGACAGTGTGACAGGGTCAAAGTGTGCCCTCCAGTGGATGTTGTCATAACTACAACTGCAGTTGTAGTTGTAGGGGCAGGTGTGGTAAGAATTCTAGCCTGTCCTACACATGTCCCCACATTTCCCACTCTGTCCACAGCAGCCAGCTCTACATTCTGTGAACAGCAGGAGGCGCTGTAGGTAGCCACTGTAATGTTCTCGCCCCCGGCTCCAGCCACTGTGCTGGTATTGAGGGTACCGTTCCCTTGGCGGAGGGTAATGCTCTCAATGCCGGTTCCATTGATGCCATCGGTGAGATTAGTGATAAACTCCCACTGGGAGGAAGCACAGAGCGATGAAGAGACGGGACAGATACCGGATATATTGACAACCTTGCACACTGGACCTGCCAAATCTGTCACCTGGAGAGAGAGGAGATTAAGAGTGTGGTCTCATACAAAGAACAGAAACAAGACCTGGCTAGAAGCAGTTATTAGTAGTATTTTAATACTACTATAATCCTTATAACAAACTTTGATAAAGTAGTGTGCAGTATATTTATTAAAAACAGCTGTAATGTGGTCAAATCAAAGAAAAAAAAGTGAAGTAAAAGGTTTTTGTAATTCCAAGGAGGAGATTTACCACTGATGTGAGACAGAGGCTAAAGCATCTCTCATTGGTTCTCTTATTTTTTGTACTCAGTATACCTTGTATATGACCATTATTATTAATGATTTGGAAAGGATGTATTAATGTAATGTCACAAATACTGCCTCACTCAAAATCCTTTTATCCCTAAAGCCAAGTCTACTGCTGACACTAGCCTTAATCCTGATTCTGGATGACCAATCCAGACATTTCAGTCACTGAGTGGCTCATAAAATGAGCTATGAAACAAACATTGGCTTATCAAAAGATACTTTTCTTTGCCATCATGTTTCTGTAACTTTTCACCTTCCTGATATTGTTTGTTATTTTCCCACCACAAATGTTGCTAGGAAAATTGAGTTTTAATTTTCAACATTTTTCCTGTTACAAGGTTTATATTCTCAATTACTGGATTTAATTAGAGATGTAGCAATGCAGAACAGACTTTTTTTTTTAAACCAAAACCCTCTTTACTTCATCCCTCATCCAGCTAAATATTTTTTTGTCTTACCTTGGCAACCACAGAAAACCGGAGGACAGCGTAGTTGATGTCAGTGGCAGCATTTTCTGCCTCAATGGTTACAGTCACATCTGTTCCTGATGCAGCACTGGCCGGGGCCGTTAAGGTTATGGTGCCATTGGCTGTACCTCCACTTCCCACCGCTATGTTGACAGTGCTGGGTGAAGTGGTGGAATAACTCCGGTCGTTGTTGACTCGCACTGTCAATGTTCCAGTTTCGTCTGAGAATATTGTGAAAGGGATGGAGATGGTGGAACCTGGTTCTATGTTGATGCTGTTGGCTTGGGCCTGGAAAAGTGGAGGGAGACGCTTAAAAGCTGCAGTAAAACTGGAGTGATATGACACGATCTTCTTGACTTGGTCAATAATCTTTCTGCTGAATTTTGAATTAATTGCAGTTGTGAGACTAAATGGGAGTTTAAACAGGTGAAAAAGGAGTTACACTAGTCTAGACGTGATAATATAAAGGATGTATGAGCAATGTATAAACACTAATTCTGTTGAGTGGCCATGATCTTAAAATGTTGGACCAGATTGTAAGACTCTTTAGCTGTGGGATTTAAAGTGTCATCAATATTTAAATTAAAGTTCACAACTGAAGTACTGTCTCAAGGGTAAAATTAACTTAAATTAACAAACAACACTCTCAAGCCACCCAAGTTTTAGTTGATTGGATGATCGATCAACTAAAACAACTAGCCTTAGAATATATAGAAAACTTTATTTAAAGGTTTGTTTTAAAGTAATCTTGCAATTCTGATCCGAAACTGGGAAAAATACCTACCTTTTACCACCAATATCTCCTATTGGAAACAGATATGCAAGAAAAAATGTTTTCAATGTCCTCAAATACTAAACTACAACTCATTCAGCATAAAATCCTGAACAGAATACACTATGCTCAACAGAAAATGTTCAGAATGGGATTAACAGACAACAATATTTGCACACACTGCACACTGCACACCACGAATGACTACTTTCATGCCACCTGGCTTGGCCCACCAATTCAACTGTTACTCAAAAATGATCCTCCATTTTGGGTCTCCAAACTCTCTTAGTTGAACCGCCACTCAGCAATGAACAGCCAACTTAGATTGCCTTAACAATCGCCAAGAAAACCATTCTGCTTAACTGGAAAAACAGACAGACAACCTTTCAACATCCCAGAGGCTTCAGTTACTGTGCGAACACATATAAATATAAGGACTTAAAGCAGTAACAAAAAACCAAGCTGAGCAATTTAACAGTCATTGGGCCCCATTAACTTCACCACACAGTTCTGTAGACCTTCCTGTATAAATATGCAGTAGACTCACAGTCCCGACTGATGATGATGGTGGGGGGGACCTGACCTGCTAGCAGGCCAGCAACCTCCCACGGGTCTGGGGGCAGCCTAAAGTAGGACAGCAGCAAGGACAGTTAGGAGGGAGGAGGGGGAAAAAACAAACAAACAAACAAACAAACAAAAAACAGCTGCCCTAAATCTGCCATGGCGCTTTTTGTCCCCGGGGCATGGCATGGCTGTGCATGTAGATGCTGCAGCCAGTAGCTCCTTCAGACCTGCTACATTTTTGTTGTATGTGTTTTTATATTGTCATATTGTATAGGCTATCACTTCTCCTCCTGTGAATCCATGTTTATGTAGAAAGCTTTCAATTGCATTATTATTGATTAATTCTTGTGTGTGAAAACCATTTAGTAAAATCAAGAACAGCGGAAGGGAGAAGTTCCGTAAATTCCAGCATGGAGGATCACAATTATACGAATATGCTTTGCCTGGGCAGCAGTTATGTATAAATCTGGCACTATTAGCACTGTAATCTGCATATATGCATAGCAACAGGCCTTAAGGGGTTGGGGCTTAAAGAATGGAACAGCAAAACAGGTCACGCCTGTGTTGTAACTATTGTTATATTTCTGATCGACCTCAATCTAAAAATGTCCCATTATTAGGGGTGATTACTGATAAGTGTTGAACAATTCAACTGGGAATCTGTGGTTGTTTTTATTGGTGGGCATTTGACAGTTGTCATTAACTTTACTAATGTTCAAGCAAAGTGAAGATCTGCTTCGCTGAGACAGAAAACGGAAGTTGGTTGTGCTCACAGAAACAGAGAGTCTGGAGGTCTTGATCTGCGTGGAGGCCTGTCTCTGGAAGCTGCTCGGTGTTGACCTGGAGGTGGAGCTGCTGTCCTCACCTTTAAGGTAAACCACAAAATCACCTCCTGGGACTCCACTGAATCTTACCAGGAAGTTCCCCCCTCCCAGAGACTGTGGAGGACAGAAAAAATGACTCGTTACTCATCCCACATTCTCCAATAAATCAATAACCCTAGCCAGAGAGGCTAGAGTGTGACTAATGTTATTCATATTTAATCATTGCCACCTATTTGCTTTTCATACAATATTGTAAAATGTGTTTCTCCTGCAGGTCTACCTAGTGATTTAGAAAAAAAAAACAGGTAAATTTTTAATGTCATTGCATCTATAAATCACGCAAAGTTTCAGTTAATTTGCTGCATTCCACACAGCTAGTGGTTCCCATTTATTTTAATATTAAAATCAACAAGAGAGGTAATAATTTAATCTTTCTTTCTTTCTTTCTTTCAGTACAGTATACACACTTAAACACTAAAACATACAAAACCATGTACAGTCTTTTCAGTTTCACAAGTGCAATGTGTGACATGCCTGCAATGATCCGTTGATCTCTGTTGACCCTGAGCTTTCCAACAGAGTGACCTCTGTGACTGTTGCCGTGTCACTTCCTGTCAGTGTGACCAAAAGGGTGACATTACCACCTGAAAGTTGTGGCAAGAGAAAAAAGGAAAATAAGTGCAACTGTAAACATGACAACATTAAACATATACTTACTTATGAAACATTACATAATGTTTTAGAAGTAACGATGAAAATGGTCAGACCTGTAGTAGGACGTCCGTCCTTAAGACTGAAGCCACCCTGACCTCCCTCATGAGCTTCCACAAGGTTGTAGACGAAGTTCAGTGAACTTTGACCTGATGTACACACACAAACAGAAAAGAAATCAGTAAAGATTTCTAAAACATCTCATCTTCTCACTTTGAATTCATCAAACTACTGACCTGTGACTTTAACAGAGTAGGGATTATTAGAATCAACATAAATTTCCCATAGTCCTGTTTGATTCCCAGTGTTGAGGCTTAACCGGCGTAGGTTTCCCACCGTGGTGAAAGATGCCAGAGGACCACTGGGCTGACTTGAACTCTGAGATTCACCTGGAAGAGGGGGAACCATAGTTCATGCTGTAATATTTATTATGTTTAAGGGTCAGCTCACCCAAATTATAATATTAAGAAAAAATCAATTTCCTTTCCTACATTTTAGTGGTTTTTAGCCAACTAAGTTTGTTATGTTATCTGTACAGATTTTTAAAATAACTGTCCTGCCCCATCCAGTTTAGATTTATATAGTCTTGCGATACCAGACATCGGAGGTCTACCAGTCGTCTGAGGATTTGCAAAAGAGTTGCTTGAATGAAACAATACTATCACCCTATTCTCCACCCCAACGGAACTGTAGATATAGCAAATCGCTTTGTAACACGGAAAGAACTTTTAAAAATATTGTTTTTCCTTTTTTAAAACTACCTGTTTGTTTCCACCCAGTTCAGAGTCCTCTGTGTCTATTGAAGAGTTCTGACACTTGCTTGTGAGTCTAGGATTTATATAACAGACACTGATGCGTAATTTGCCCCGCTCCTGAGTCATTAATCTTGTTGTTCCAGGCATTTTAAAAATTGTCAAATTATAAGTGGGTCTTTTTTACCAGTGGGTTATCACAATATTCATAATTTATTATCTATTAATACTAATATTATCACATTATTTAGTTGCTAGATAATACCAGGATTTTTCGACAGTTTCAAACTACTAAAATAGGTAATTTTACAATGCTGTAACAGAGGAATTTGGAATTTATTAAATTGCTATACAACAAAAACCTAAAGGCAATACTGTTTTGCCAGAAAAAACAAATGTAAAGGTGTTTATGACAGTTGATGGATGAAATAAAAAGGAAATGAAAAACATCACTTCTAAAAAGCTAAAAAGTAAACTGATACTGAAACAGGGAGGAGATGCAAGTGTGAAACACCAGCAGTAAAAACAATCCCACGTGTGTCTGGACCTGTAGAGCTGATGAGTCTGAAGGTAAGGAGTGAGGTTCCTGTGATGTAAATGATCATGTTGCTTAATGACGCATCAACAACAAAATGAAAATGATCAGGCCTTCCAGGATTCATCACTGCCTGGAAAACTGTCACCTGGAGGATAAATGAACAGTAATGGCTGTGAGAGTCAATCAATGTGGCAGGGCGTTATCTGTGTAAAAGAGTTTGTGCTAAAACACAGTAATACATAATTTGCAAATGTGTTATACCATCTTCAGTCAGCTCTTCATTTTCTTGTTCAGTGTCTTACCACAGCGCTGGCTGATGAATCCTTTATAACAGCCGTAACCAAAGAGAGGTCTGACTTGGTGACCTCAATGGCCAGACCCCCAGAAGCTTGGGCTAGATCATGGTACAGCTGGGCGGTTGATAGGCTACGTGATGCACGACTGCTGCGACGCCGTCGTCTTAAAAAGACGTTTGTCAACATGAAAGTGACCTAAAAGTATAAGGATAGATGAAATGATATACAGCCTATACAGTGCAATAATAAGTTGTCAAATTAATTATACTATTGACAAACAAAGCAAAAACTGGGTTCACATTCAGAATAACATATTTTCTATCTAGTACTGTTACTAATACTGTTGCCAGTGTACCACTCATTGTATTAATTCTAAGTTTATATGAAGTTTATATAGATTCTGGACTTGCTAATGTTAATTAATTCAAGTGTTTTTAGAACAATCTATTGAGCACTGCAGATGTTGGTCTGGATGTTCTGCAGCATTTTTTCAGAAGCTAAGTGGTCAAATAGTCATCTTGTCTTCCGAATAATTGTGTTTCAGTTGTTGCCAGCATGTGTTTACATAAACTGACACTTTACTGTTTCTTTATGGGCTGCCTTAATGTCTGAAGTGGTAATTGTAAAAACTTGACTCATACACAGAGTTACCTTAGACTTGGTGCTCTCTATGAGGGCAGTGACGGTGCTTTTCAGATTGAAATCTTTCGCCGTAGCGTCAGTGAAGACGAAGATCTCAGAGGAGGGCGGAGCTGACGTCAGTGCAAGCTTTCAGTCACATACAAGACAGGACAAACTGTTATTGATTTGGTCTGTTGGACTGAAAAACCTGATAAGCAATAATTCTGTTATTCTTCATGGAGTCATATGGTGACAACACATCATCTTGGTGTTTTTGTTTTAGACAACTCTGTAGTCTGAATTAATGACTCCAAGAAAACAACTTAAATACTAAACATAGTTGTTACTTACTCATTCAAACACAACCACACCATAACACACAGACCTGCAGTCCAGACAAACACATCTCTGGGTAGTCCCCTCCTCCACTTGCAGTGAGCTTGTTGATGCTGTCTTTGAAGATGTCTGCATTGGTTGTCCTTATCACAGGTCCGAAATCTAGATAGCAGATAAAGTGGTAGATAAAGAGCATGCAGTTTTCCCTTTTTTACTTTCACTGTAAAATTAACCATATCTTATTTGGTAGCTGCCATAGGGAACATATGTAAAATTCTAAGTTACCTACCCGGGTCATTAAAGGGTACCAATATGTAGGCGGAGGGCTCCTGCTGGGTTCCCCTTTTACTGTCAATGATGTCAAAGGAAACTCTCTTAGCCTCAGCTATGTCATCGCTCATACTGCCTGTGGTATCGATGACAAAACACAGCACAGAGGACTGGGAGAGGCCCATAAATCTATGGGAACACAAGAGAGCCAAACATAATTAGACTACTGTTATTATTTGGATTATTCTGCTAGGAGCACCACTGTCAATGAACAGTGATAACTGACTGAAGGCAAAGTGTGCTAGCACGACAAGGTAAATCTCACCTTTTTGGCATAGTTGGTACATATTATAACATGGAATTTGTTTGGGGGGAACCATATTACAGTTGAAATTAGTGAAGAGATTTATCAACATGTAAATCCAGGCTTCCAGAGCTCTGGATACTGTTGAATGGCCAAATCAGTAGATAGAATGCTCTTAATCTTGACTTTAAATTGGTGTTAAAGCGCCTCTGTGCATCCAATGTATGGGCACCCAAAATGGCTCAGGTGAAGATGGGCCATACCGCAGGAAGTTCTTGTCTCCAACAGCTACTCTGATGTCCTCCAGTAGCTCTATAGTGGCATCCACTGCCAGCTTAGCTGCACTGCTGTGAAGTAAGCCATGAATTGACTCAACTGTATCCTTATTGATGCCCCCCACTGGGTCCTTTTTGCTTGTCAGATCAGATGATCCACCGTGGCTACATTTACCTTCGAGCAGAAATAGAGCAGCAGAGAGTTTTTTAGGTGGGAGAACACATCTTTTGATTGCAATAGTAAAAGTCCAAAGCTCATTTGTATGTATTCCTTTGAGGGGCTTTAAATGAACCTGACTACTTCTAGCCTACTTCAGTTAAATTGTGGTTTAGTTTTAACTTTCTAGTAGACATTTTGTCATTGATAAACTGTTAAATATTGTAGGCTACTTAGGTTATAGCAGCTAGTCAGCTAACTAACCACTGAAGAAACCTTTAAACAAAAGACTCACCATGGCATGAGTTTGCATACTAAACACAGTTTAAGTTACCTGCAGGCTTTGCTGGAGAGAAGGTGTTGAAGTACCCGGAAGTGAGAACCTCCTTCCGCAGCACTTCAGTAAGAATATTAAAATAACAAATATCTTCTGTGCAGCTAATACAGGTAGGAGTATCTGGGCCTGGAGCAATTTAAGACAGAAGTTAATATAAATAAATAAAATAAAAACAGTAACATACAATACAACGAACATCTATAATACAGCAATGCAACTTGAGATAGGATATCATAACATATTTGAAGGGTTTGGATTCAGAACAGTTGTTTTCTTAATGTCCTGATGCTAATCCATGTGCCTTCTTACTCTGTCGACCAAATTGTTGCTGTTTAAACTATAAACTCCAACCAGACAGCAGAATCCTACCTGCCAAGTTCTCCAGAGGTTGGTCTGATCTGATCAGAGTGCTATAAGGAGTGAATTTATCCAGCTCCACCCAGTTGCTGTGGCTGTAGAAGTCCTTAAAATACAGAATATGTAGAATTATTTGCAAAACCATTATTACCTCTTTCCTCCAAAATGTTACCACCAACAAATAGAAATAAATAAATAAGAATAACCTGTAGGGTATGACAAACTTGTCCAAGAGTCTGCCTCCCTGCATCAAAGTTCTCCAGCTTCACATTAGCTTTCACAGAAGACATACCTGAACAGAAGAAAACATAGTAAGTGTGCTTAATTTCTCTTTTTATTTTTGTGTCTCTTATTTCCCTTATTTAATTTCTATTTATATGGGTTTTTATTGGCATTTAGGGCCAAAAGCCAGTTAAAGTGTAAGACACAGTTTTAACCATAGACTATTGGATGTACTGATGATGTATCCTAATGACTTTGGTGATCCCAGATATTCCTTTGGTGTCAATATGAAGTTGTCAACTGTTGGATATTTGGTTACCCCTTTATTTTAGAGCTGGAAATGGCAAATTACTTGATAATTCGATTCCCTTTGTTCAGTTCAATTCAAAGATGTGTAGTTCACTTTTCTTTTTTGCATCACCGTTCAAATGCACATTATTTACTAGATAAACACATTCAGTCTGTTGCTAGTCCACATTGTGGTTTTCATTGTATTTTAATATGGAATATTGTATATTAATGAGGAAGTCATGTACTCTGAATCACAGCTGAACTGGTAACAGTGTCACCAATGTTGGGCAGTGATGCATTATTAGTAATAGTATTACAGTAAGTAAGTAATAGAGTAATATTATTATTCTCCCCAGTAACGAGTAGTGTAACAAACTACTAATAACATTTCAATAATACTATTACAGTTACCCCCCCAAAAAATAACTAGTTACAACCTTTGTTGTCACCCCCCTTCTAATTTGCAATCCAATCACATCCCCAAATCCACAAAATAACTAGCACTGCACAGGAAACTCTGCAGGATCTTTACAACTGTTACACAAAAAAGCACAATCTATTGTGTCGGATTGTTCCCATCCTTTACAATGTTTTCACTTTCTGCTATGGGCCCTCCTTACGCCCACAGCTAAAACCAATAGATTCATATACCTCTGCCATCTTGCTCCTAAACTCTAGGAGGAAGTTAGTTATTGATGATGCATGAAGCATGATGTTTTGGTTTTTTTTAAATCTTTTTGAGTGAGTATTTTTACTGTGTATTCATGTTTCTTGGTCTTAGTGTTGTATTTATATGCCCTGTGTTTTAAGTGTGCTAAGTATACGCATCCAACTGCTGCAAAACCAATTGCTCCAATGGGGACAACTTAAGTTATTCACTGATATTTCATTTTGGGGTATTTGCTTGAGTGATGCTGTTGTTCTTCTTGGGAGCAATCTCTAACAAATTGATCGATATGGAAAATAGGATTCAATCAGTAAATGGGCTTCAGATTGTGTTTTGTTTTGTGTCATGGACGAGTTATAGGGACACAACAGTGTACAGCACCTTCTGTGATGATTTTTCGTCCTTCCTGGAAGGTCTCATCATGAAAATGGTACTCCACTACCAGTTTCAATGAGGAATCCACCTTTGCATTGCTGTAGCAGATATCATCAATGGCAGATTGGAACATGTCGGTGGACAGGGCAAATGTGGAGGTGGGTGTGGAAAAACAGGCCCTTTGAACCTTGCTAACTGACAAGTTGTCATCAATCTGGAGACAAACAAATGCCAAATAATGGACAACATAATGGGAAATTATTATTATTATTATTATTAATAAAATAAAAATCATTCCTGCCTGTGGTCATTAAACTATACAACGCCTCCCTTGGAGAGTCAGT